CATCCTCTGCTGAGACCCGACCGCTGACAGAGGATCGGAAACGCTGGAAACACTGTCTGGCAGGTCTAACTCCATGACCTCAAGGGATGAGTGGTCATCGCATCTTCTAGCATGACCGCCGTAGAAAGACACGCTTTCCTTATTTCTTTCATAGCACCGACTTACTAGGTAGGCATTTGGTTCAATCAATGGCCAGTGGGCGAATTCCTTGGTTTAAAGTAGCAGTTAAGAAGAAAAATGTACAATGGATTACTGATGGAAGGTAAAAATCGAAAGAGTTCCCTCTTCACCGCTGCTTTCCTAAGGTAAGAGACCGGAGTAATACGTATACAATGGCTAGTAACGAACGAGATTTAGAGATAAATACAAAAGTAAAAAAGGATATATCTTTTAATATAGACTCTGACTTATGCAAATTATTCTAAAATAGCTGTGAAAACTGTCCAGTTAAGAATTCTGCCAAAAATAACTTACCGGCAGGGCAAGAAGCAATGGTCTTGCTTAAGACCTACGTGGTGAACATGTGCTCTTCCGAGTCTCGCTTAGTTAATTACTTAAGATTGGCGTATATTTCTATTCATATACCTTAATAACATCTAGTATTTGTCTACGCTGTGGCAAAGTACATATATGGCTAGAAAAGGGACATAAGTTGAAAAAGTGAATCGATGCGCAAATGCACCAAAATTTATCTAGATGAAAATTATACAGAAATGTAAAAGTAGAGAAAGCGCAATAACCACAGGACGTAAACTTAGACTTGCATCGATAGTGAATACAGTTGCAAATAAAAATGCCCTACAGAATAACGCGTGAAAAGGTCTGCCCTTGGTTCGCTATTTAGTCACCTCTTAATAACGTTATAAAGACAGAACAGTCAAATTTAACAATTTTTTTTAATTTTCTCATATTATTTATTTTGCACTATATTACTTTGCATTAATAACTGCATACTGAAATCGAATGCGTACTGTGAATAAAAGAAAAATAACCTGTAAAACATGACATGATGTGCTGTATACTCGAATTGTATACACTACTGTATAGTCGAACATCGCTACTGTATAGTAATAAGTATACATATAAGCAATATAGTAATAGCGGGTCAGGTGGGAGGAGGGTTAACTCTGACTTACGTAACTGTTGCGTTAGTCAGAATATGCCTGAATATAAAACAGAAGCATAAGAGTACCTTGGCGAAACAATTAAAGATGATTATTTGCTCTCCAATTCTTTCTCTTAGAAGTACCTAATATTAGAGAACGAAATGATGCAAGAGAGTTTCCTTCACTGCACCCATAACTCGGTCATTTATCGAGCGTATTGGCCTCATTCCCTTACTGTTTCAGTTCCAAACCTCTCTGGGTCGAGCTGTTACACTTTTTAGCATAAATCATGCGCTACGCCTAACGTATTGTTCTTTTCTAGAATTCAACACAAGTTAACAAAATACAAAGAGCATGACACAGTAATAAGCGCTGCTGTATTTCACTATGCAACTTTTGTTAATTTGCAATATAAGAAGTTATTTACATTTAAAATAGCATGCACGTTTAGAAGGCCGTCTGAACATTAGAAGAGGAAAGGAATAAACTGAATTAGAAGAAATACATGGAGAAAATAATTTACAAAAGCAACCACCAGAAAACGATAAATACGATAAACAGATGAAAAGCAGCAACTCGCCCTATGCGTGCAAGTC